CCCCCCCCCCCCTGAAGTCCCCCAAAACATAACTATCCCCCCGGCAATCTCTCGTAGCTTCTTCTAAAAATTTTGCATCCCCCGATTCTCTGAGAAAAAGTTTTAAACCCCCCCATTTCACTGGTAAAAGTTTTTATGATCCCCCCTAAATTTCGCCTGCCCCCCTCCCCCCTGCCATCCATAATGAACGCAGCCTAAAATATACTAGATATAAATTATTGAAAACAGAAAATTTGGTGGTAGCTATCTTTAATAGCCAGGGGCTAGACAAGACAGTTAGCTTTTTTTCTTATTCACAATAATAAAGTGAGGAGAGAATAATAATGAATGAAAAAAATATATATATGGAATAGATAAATAAAAGTGAAAGAGAAATATAGATAAATAGCATGTCATAAGATTGATGAAAATTCTTCTGGATTTCTGACTGTGTAAGCTTCAACCAAATATTACAACAATTATTGTTCAAAGTACAAGAATTCCAAGAAAATTTATTATCAGCTTTTCTTTTCTTTTCTTTTCTTTTCTTTTTTTAGACAGAAATATGAATTCAAATTTAGAATATTTCGTATTAGTTATCATGATTTGGGCTGTAACTCTGAGTGTACCAAGAACAGCAGGACAAACCACTATCAAGACTWCAGCCCAGGGGAGTGTGACAACARTGAGTAAGCAAACATCTGGCTCCTCTACTTCTGCAGTTCCAGCTACGAACATTAAARAAAGCACGTCTAAAACAACTACAACCAAACCGACTGTTTTTACGATTAACAGCACATCAACATTAATTGCTGTGACTAAATCTACCGAAAAAACTACAGGCCAAACCACTCCCAAGACTACAGGCCAGGAGAGTKYGACAACAGTGAGTAAGCAAACATCTGGCTCCTCTACTTCTGCAGTTCCAGCTACGGGGAACATTAAAGAAACCACTTCTAAAACACCTACAACCAAACCGACTGTTTTGACAACAAACAACACATCAACAATAATTGCTATGACTAAATCTACCGAAAAAACTACAGGAAATGTGTCAAGTGTGTTACCGTCTACCAAAAAGACATCATCACATTCTGCAACTCAATCGATCCTAATCTCATCTAGTAATGAAACGTTACCAACAACCCTTACTGCGAATAGAACAACCACTGAAAAAGCTATAACCACTTCAACTGGCTTACCCTCAACCAAACAGACCTCAGTAACCCCTCCTACGTCAATAGCTGCCACTAYTACAACAGAAACGACTACGACAAAGTCAGCTTCTTTGCCCTCGAGTAACCAAACATCATCAACAACAACTACCACGACTACAGCTACTGAAACGACAACAGCAATCTTAAGCACAACAACCTCATCAACAACCCATTCTACAACTACAACTACTACTACAGTAAAAACAACAACCAGTCCAATGACTACAGAAAAGGCTACATCCACTTCAACAACCACCAAAAGTACCAAACAAACTACTAAAAATGCCACAACAATTCCTACTTACAATCCAACCACTGCTCAAAATAGCAAGACTTCYGCAGAAACCACAACAACAGTAAACCCATCCGGCCAATCAACTAGTTCCAGGCCTGCCTCTCCTTCCCTGCCCACCACAGAACAGAGCACCACAGAACGAAAAACTACCAAGAAAACATTAACACCAACTAAGAATAACACTCCCGTTACAAATACACAGTCTATCATAGTCACGACAACAGGTATGAATTATTGTTAACAAACTTTAAAATTGCATTGCATTAATTTTT